CTACCAGAGTAGGTTTACTGATTCATAATCAATCACTTTTATAATCTTTATGAGGCTTATATGAATCAACCCTTCAAGGTATAGTTATAGAGATCTGAGATGACTGATTTAAAAATTAAAAATAATGAAATAAAATAAACCTCACTGCCATCAAGTTGAGTCCAACCCATAGCAACCCTAACTTGGGTTTCTGAGACCATATCTTTATGGAAGTAGATTGCCCCATCTTCCTTCCGAGGAGTGCTGGTGGCTTTGAACCGCCAGCCTTCTGGTTAGCAGTCAAATGCCTTAGGCACTATGCCACCAGAGCTCCCTGGTCATCAGAAATGACTGATGGCTGATCCCAAATGACAATGCCAACGGCATTCAGATCTCAGAGTGTGCAGAGCTGATCAACAGCCTACCTTCAGGATGGCTCATCCTTACCAAGGTATGCTCTGTGTCATGCAGGTCACTGTGTTTTGGTCCCACTGACTCAATCACTGCTCCAACAACTTAAGTGTTTATAACTTTTTGCCCTGCTTCCCTCCCTTTGCAATAACTTTCTTTTTGTCTACTACTTTCCCACCTGATAACTTCTTACCTACTTTTTAAGACCATGTTCAAATACCATCACTGTGATACTTTTACCTAGTCCCCTAGGTAGTCTAAGTGTCTATGAAGCCTATAACCAAGCCATGTCTACTTAACTCCATCACAGTCACATTGTCTTCAATTACAGTTTTACATGTCTGCCTTTCCCAGTTATGTTAACTCATCTCTGTACCCACACAATCTAGTACACAGACTGTACCAAAAAGTTATTGAATGAAAACATGAACAAAGAACCTCTAATTACTCTGCACTAAACAATGGCTATAGTTATTGAATTTCTGACCAAATAAACCTTGTTATAATTTTATATAGCAATGGCAATAAAATTTGCTCCTATGTGTTCATTTTTTGCTAGTCAGCAATCCATAAAGTACTGTTGTTTTTAGGTGCTGTCAAGTCCTCTCCAACTCATAGTGACCTTGCGTACAGCAGAACGAAACACTGCCCAGTCTTGTGCCAGCCCCATGATCTTTACTATATCTGAGCCCATCACTGAAGCCACTGTGTCAATCCATCTTGTTAAGGGCCTTCCCCTTTTTTGTTGTCCCACCACTTTGCCAAGCATGATATCCTTCTCCAGGGAATGGTCTCTTCTTACAACATGACCAAAGTAGGTGAGATGAAGTTTGGCCATTCTTGCTTCCAAGGAGCATTCTGGCTGCACCTCTTCCAGGACAGTGGCTGCAGTCCATGGTACTCTCAGCATTCCTTACCAATGCCACAACTCAAAAGCATCGACTCTTCTTCGGCCTTCCTTTTTCATTGTCCAGCTCTCACATGCATACAAAGCGACTGAAAATACCATGGCTTGAGTTAGGTGCATCTTAGTCTTCAAGGAGACATCTTTGTTCTTCAGCACTTGAAAGAAGTCCTTTGTAGCAGATTTGCCCAATGCTATATGACATCTGATATCTTGACTGCTCCTTCCATTGTTGTTGATTGTAGAACCAAGTAATATGAAGTCTTTGACAACTTCAATTTCTTCTCCATTTATCATGATGCTGCTTATTGGTCCAGTTGTGAGGATTTTCATTTTCTTTATATTGAGGTGTAATACATACTGCAGATTGTAGTCTTCAATCTTCATCAGTGTTTCAAGTCATCCTCACTTTCAGCGAGCAAAGTTGTGTCATTTGCATAATGCAGGTTGTTAATGAGTCTTCCTCCAATCCTGATGCCATGTTCTTCTTCACATACTCCAGCTTCTTGGATTATTTCTTTAGCACACAGATTAAATAAGTATGGTGAAAGGATACAACCCTGACACACTCCCTTCTTGACTTTAAACCATGCGGTGTCCCCTTGCTCTGTTCGAATGACAGTCTCCTGGTCTATGTGCAAGTTCCTCATGAACACAACTAAGTGCTCTGGAATTCCCATTTTTCTAAATGTTATCCATAATTTGTTATGATCCACATAGTCGAATGCCTTTGCATAGTCAATAAAACACAAGTAAATATCTTTCTGGTATTCTTTGCTTTGAGCTAAGATCCATCTGACATCAGCAGTGATATCCCTCGTTCCATGACCTCTTCTGAATCCAGCTTGCATTTCTGGAAGTTCTCTGTCAATATACTGCTGCAACCATTTTTTAATTATCTTCAGTAAGATTTTACTTGTGTGCAATACTAATGATATTGTTTGATAATTTCCACATTCTATGGGATCACCTTTCTTTGGAATGGGTACAAATATGGATCTGTTCCAGTCAGTTGGCCAGGTAGCTGTCTTCCAAATTTCTTGGCATAGACGAGTGAGTGCCTCCAGCACAGCATCCATTGTTGAGACATCTCAATGGGTATTCCATCAATTCTTAAACCTGTTTTTCATCAATTCCTTCAGTGCAGCCTCAACTTCTTCTTTCAGTTCCATTGGTTGTTGATCATATGCTACTTCCTGAAATGGATGAACGGTGACCAGTTCTTTTTGGTACAGTAACTCTGTGTATTCCTTCCATCTTCTTTTGATGTTTATACATCATTCAACATATTGCCCATAGAATCATTCAATATTGCAAATCAAGGCTTAAATTTTTTTTAGTTCTTACAGCTTGAGAAATGCTGAGCATGTTCTTCCCTCTTGGCTTTCCAACTCCATGTCTTTGCACATTTCATTATAATAATTGACTTTGTCTTCTCAAGCTGCTCTTTGAAATATTCTGTTCAACTCTTTTATCTTGTCATTTCTTCCACTTTCTTTAACTACTCTCCATTAAAGAAGGTTGGGAAATCCTACTTCCATAGTGATACTGCCTCGGAAACCCAAGGAGGGGTCGTTATGAGTTGGGTTTGACTCGACGGCACATAACAACAACAACAACAACATTCAAGGACAAGTTTCAGAGTCTCTTCTGACATCCACTCTGGTCTTTTCTTCCTTTCCTGTCTTTTTAATGACCTTTTGCTTTCTTCATGGATGATGTTCTTGATGTCATTCCACAATTCCTCTGATTTTCAGTCATTGGCATTCAATACATCAAATCTATTCTTTAAATGGTTTCTAAATTCAGGAGGGATATTTTCAAGGTCATATTTTGGTTCTCGTGGACCTGTTTTAATTGTCTTCAACTTCAACTTTGAACTTGCAAATGAGAAGTTGATGGTCTGTTTCATAATCAGCACCTAGCCTTGTTTTGGCTGAAGATATTGAGCTTCTTCTTCACCTCTTGCCACAGATGTAGTCAATCTGATTCCTGTGTACTCCATCTGGAAAAGTCCACATGTATAGCTGCCATTTGTGTTACTGAAAAAAGGTATTTGCAATGAATAAGTTATTGGTCTTGCAAAATTCTACCATGCATTCTCCAGCATTATTTCTATCTCCAAGGACAAATTTTCCAACTACCGGTGATTCTTCTTTGTTTTCAACTTTTGCATTGTCACCAGTGATAATCAGCACATCTTGATTGCATATTTGGTCAATTTCATACTGCAGAAGTTGGTAAAAATCTTCAATTCCCTCATCTTTGGCTTTGGTGTTTGGTGCATAAATTTGAATAATAGTAGTATTAACTGGCTTTCCTTGTAGGCATATGGGTATTATTCTATCACTGACAACATTGTACTTCAGGACAAATCTTGAAACATCCTTTGTAATGATGCATGCCACACCATTCCTCTTCAATTTGTCATTCTTGGCATAGTAGATCATATGGTTGTCTGGTTCAAAATGGCCAAAACTGGTCCATTTCAGCTCAGTAATCCCTAGGATATCAATCTTTATGTGTTCCATTTAAATTTTGACAACTTTCAATTTTCCTAGATTCATACTTCATACATTTCATTTTCCAATTATTAATGGATGTTTGTAGCTGTTTCTTCTCATACTGAGTCATGCCACTTCCGCAAATGGAGGCCCTGAAAGCTCTACTTTATCCATATCATTAAGGGAGACTCTACCCTGATGAGGCAGCTCTTTCCAAGTCATATTTTGAGTGCCTTCCAACCTGAGGGGCTCACCTTCTGGCACTGTATCGGACAATCTTTCAGGGCCACTCATAAAATTTTCCAGTAATATATCAAACAGGGTTTCACTACTATTCATAGGTTTTCACTGGCCAATTCTTTGAGAAGTGGATGGCCTCTTCCTCCTTCTGAGTCTGTCTCACTCTGGAAGCTCCACTGAAACTGGTCCACCATGGGCACCCCTGCTAGCACAGCCTCCAGCCTCACAGCAACATGTAAGCCACCACAGTATGATAAACCAACAGATAAGTTTCTACCTTAGCTGCTCCAACTGCTCCACTCACTTCCTGGGCTTCCCCCTACCTGTCCCACCAGCCCTGTCTGACACTGCTTCCTGCCACCTACCTTACCTGTTCCAGTGGCCAGCCCTGTCATGTTGTAAGTATGGTTATCTGCTTACAACTTGAAAACAAACAAACTGAGTATATGATCAACGAGTGTATTCCTCTCTGGACAAAGAGAGCTAAACTACATCCTCACTCTAGGAGACCTGAAAGAGGAGAAAGCTTAATATTAAAACCAAACTCATTGCCGTTGAGTCAGATCTGACTCATAGCAATCCCTCCTTGGGTTTCTGAGGTGGTATCACTATGGAAGTAGATTGCCCAATCTTCCTTCTGAGGAGTGGCTGGTGGGTTTGAACCACCAGCCTTCTG